TCTCTCTCTCTCTCTCACACACACACACACACTTAGACACACATATTGTTTGTTATTAATGTCTGAAGATTTAAAACAATTATGCTTTCCTAATGACCTGAATGTTTTATCAACATAAGTGACTCTTCCCATGTTTAGTCTAGAAATGCTTTTTGACTTAATATCTACCAGCTCTGGCAGTGATACAATTACATGACTTTCTTTTTGTTACTAGTTGGAATTGTATGTCTTTCTTTCCTATGCTTTTAATATTTTTAAGATTAAAGTGGCTGATCTTAAGTTATGTATTTTCTGTTCCAATTCATTTGTGTGTGTGTGTGTCTTTTTAAGACAGGGTCTTACTATGCAGTTCAGGCTGGCCTTGAGCTCACTTTGTAGCCCAGGTTGGTCTCGAACTCACAGTGATCCTCCTGCCTCAGCCTCCCAAGTGCTGGGATTACAGGCAGGTGCTACCATGCCCAGCTTTCAATTCATTTTATCTGTCTTAAATTGGACCTTTGGTTCACTCACTTTTAAAATACTGATTCATTTGGGAAAATATATTACTAGGTCTGTTTTAAAAAGTCTTTCACATGTGTTTTCTATTTATACAGCCTGTTTAACATCCTTTCTATCTTTTCTGGCTCTAGATTTTGTTATATTTATATCACTTCCTTTTACCCATTCTTTCAGTTGAAAATTATATACCCTTATTATATTATGACACAAATAATGAACTTTTCAATGTTTACAATTGATCAATACTTTTTATTTCCTCCCATTCAAAGCAGTGATCTTAGAACTCCAACAAGAACAACAAAGAAAGGGCCCCACAAAGCTCTCTTTCATGAGCCCCATCAGTGATCAGTGGCTTCAGGATGAAGTAGAATATCTTTCCACCAACTGGCTGAAGCAAACTCATGGAAGTGGACAGTAGATGCAAACTTCTTCAAGAAGTGCACAGCCACAGATGTTGCTGCTGATGTTGTTGGTGAAGAGTGAAAAGGTTACATGGTCTGAATCAGTGGTGATGATGACAAACAAGATTTCGTCATGGATTCTTCTCTGCTTGCTACTGAGTAAAGACATGCCTGTTAAAGGTCACTGGGGATGGCCATCTGAGTGCTGTCAAGTTGGTTATTGTGAAAAAGAGGGAGGACAAAGATATTCCTGTTCTCACACTATTGTGCCTCCTCATCTGAGGCCTAAAAGAGCTAGGAGAAGCCAAAGAATTTCCAGGCCCTCAAAAGACAATGTCTGCCAGTGTGTTGTAAGAAAGCTCGTGAACCAGGAAGGTATGAAACCAGAACCACAGCACCCGCAGTTCCCTGTCTTGGTACTCCATGCCCCTGGCAACTCCCAGAGCAGCTTGTTGCTTGGAGGAAACAACACACCCAGAAACAACAAGGAAGAGGATCTGGAATGTGTTAAAGTTCCGGCCAAGAGAATGAAGGTTGTCAAAGAAAAATGTCAGGCACAGACTGCAAAAAGACAGAGCTGTCTCCTCCGAAAGCTGCTGCCTCCAGTCCAGTGAAAAGTAAGATTTTCTAAGAGTAATAAATAAGTAAATGATAGAGAGAGATTTCAGGTATATTATTAGAGGCTGGTTATAAAACAATCTTTATATTGATTTAAGGAACTACAATTGGGCCTCTATATCCATGTGTTCTATATGCACATATTCAAGCAACTGTAAATTAAAAATATTTGGTAAAAATAAATTGCATGTGTATTGAACATTTACAGATTTTTTCCTTGTCATTGTTCCTTGAACAATACAGTAGAGCAACCATTTACATAGCGTTTACATTGCATTAGGCTGTATAAGTAATCTTGATACAGGAGATAAAGTTTAAAGCAGCAAAAAGATATGTAGGTTATATGCAAATACCATGCCATACCATACATAAGGAACCTGAGCATCTGGGGATTCTGGTACGTTTAGTGGGTGCTGGAATCAATCTCCACAGATACTAATGGACAATACTACCTATAAAGAACAGTGAGGCCCAAGGCTGCTTTCCAAATTTGAATGGCACACAAATAAAATATCTAGGAATTTTAAGAATACAATCACTGGGCATGGATACTGTCACTGTAAATGTGAGCAGTGTCCCTAGGGAGTTCCACTGTGTGACGTGGGCATGTGATAGAAACTGGTAGGAGGCTCCTGCCTTCAATCCCACACCCAGGGAAGCTCTGGTCTCACCAGTTAATCTTCTCTAGTCACAATGTCAGAACCCAAGGGCACAATGTACATGGTCCTTGGACAATGGGAGTACATGATACTGGTACAGACATCCCTGACTAAGGAATCCCGTTTCTAGTGGGCGGACATCATACACTGCTGCAGACCTTCAGACTGTATTCTAATGTTCTTTTCCTGATCTGTCTGTTTCTAATTACCCCTAGCCAGGAAGACTGGAAAGTAATGTCCCCTAGACACACTGACAGGTATGGAAGAATCGGCCATGTCTACTTGGTGAAGACTAGTAGACTAGCAGGAAAGTGGAAGTCACTGGCTGGACCACTCATCCAAATGGTCTCTAATTCTGCTTTTATAGAATGGTTTTTTTTACTTGTGTCCCTCTCTTGACCCCAGAAGAAAAGAAAGGTTTCCTAACCCTGAGGTTGAATATCTAGCATGCAAGTCTTCTGCCTGGAGTCATGACATTAAAAACATTTGAAGATTCCTCTGTTGTCATGGTACAGAGGGAAGAAGAAAAATTATGATGATATTACCCAAGGATATAATTCCAAATGTTCCCTGAATCCTTCAACAAAACTTTTTTGTTTTTATCAGAGAAAATGTAGGGCTATCACAACCAAAATGAAGTGGATCTTGGGTTTGAGGAACTCTCAGTTCCCTCCAGACTACTCTGCTTTCATCTGCAGATGTCTGGGAGGCTTGAGTGTTGTGTTTCTCCATCTTTCCTCCCATAGGTCTCTCACCATGTGGTCTTTCCTCCCACACATACTTCCACCATGGCACCATCTGCCATGCCATGATGTGGCCAGAAAACCCTTACCAGAGGCCAAACTAATGGCACAGTCCAATCTTGTACTTTCAGCCTCCAAAACTTCCAGCTATAAAAAAAAAAATCTCTTTTCTTTTTGTACATTTTTTGCCTCAGGTATTTTGTTACAGTAGCAGAAAATACACTGAGACAACTCACTCATGAAATGTGTGGATGTGCTATCTCTAGCAAGGATTCATCAGTCACACATGCAATATCATTAGGGACCCTAGCCCACCAAAAATACTAATAATAGGAGCCAGAAAGAGGTGGCAAATATGCTATTGCCATGGCTTGTGTTTAGATGTCCCTTCAAAGCCTCATGTGGTCATAGGTGGTGCTTTTTCAGAGGTGGCTGGATCTAGAGTGTGTGATGCTGGAATTGATTTATGGTGCAATGCTAGGATCAAGGGTACTAGGATTAAGAGTGTGAGTGCTACCCACTCGAAGTAGTCTGGATAATATATAAAAGATAGAAAGAGCTGTGGTCATCCCTTGCTGCTTTGCTATCTTCTGCTACATGAACTGTTTCTCCTCTGTGATGCCTGTCTGCTGTGTCATCCTGCCTTGGAGCCAGCTGATTATGGCCTGAAACCTCTACAAACCTTAAGCTACATAAACCTTTCCTCCTTTAACCATGGCCAGCAGGTATTTTGCCTCAGCAACAAGAAAAGTTAGTTAACCCAGAATTTGGTACCAGAGAAGTGTGATCACTGCTGTGACTATACCTAACCATTTGGTTTAGGACCCTTTGGAGCTGGCTTGTGGGAAAGGGAACAGTTAGGAGAGGTTTGGAGATGTCCCTGAAAAAGTAGAACTAGAGCTGGGTGTGGTGATGCACATGTGTTATCCCAGCACTCAGCAGGCTGAGGCAGGAGAATTGCCATGAATTTGAGGCCATACTGGGCTGTATAGTGAGCTCAAGGCCAACCTGAACTATATATAGCAAGATCCTGTCTCAAAAAGCAGAAACAAAAACAAAAACAAAAACAAACAAGCATACAAAAAGTAGAGCTGGAATGCCTGACACTGTACTTTTGGGAGATTCTGGTCAGAGCTCAGAAGACCAGAATGCTAATAGAAATGACACCAGGTAACAACTAGGATTGGGAGGACTCTGTTGGGAAGAAGCACTTGGCTGTTGGACTCCAGATGATGTGTCTTATGACTTGACAGAAAGTTTGTTGGCATTATGCTCCTATCCAGAGGCTGCCTGAGACTAAGTGTGGTGTACTAATCAATCTGACAGAAGAAATTTTAAGGAAGTCTAATGCTGAAGTGGTGGCATGGCTACTGTTAAGGCTTGAGCCACATTTCTATATGGTGACAATCAAGAGCAAAGAACCTAGGAGAATGACTTAAAACATTTTGAGTTTGGTCAGAAAGGAAGCTCTAGTAAAGTTGCAACCTGCAAAGGTGAAAGAGGAGAAATTGGTCACTCAAAAGACTAGCAAGAAAAAGCAAAGTATTTCAGAAGAAGACAACAGAAATGGTGACCTCAGGACATCACAACAATCAACAGGAAAACAAAACAAAACAAAACAAACCAACAGGAGTCCAGCCTCTGCAGCCTCAAATTGCAAAGGTGAAAGACTTTGCTTTGAGAAGAGAGACCCATAGCACCATGTTACAGAATGGTGGTAGCCTAGGGAAGTTTTTCCTTGGGATTTGGTTCATAGGTACTCAGTCCTGACAGTCAAGAGAGAAGGAAGCCTGCCTGCTGCTCCAGCTGGCAGTAGACTTTGGCATCATCCACATGGTGCTGGTTTTAGGGGCATGCAGAATGCAAGAGGTGTGGGGTCAGAAAGGCTTCCACCCAGATTTCAGTAGAAGACCTGGGAGGCCAGGCAGTGTATCTCTGAGAGGGCATTTTGTAAAGCTGTAAGTGTGAAACTGAAGATGCAGTGGAGCCCCCAGAAGTTTGGAGAAGCCAGGAATGTGTATCATCTGATGAAAACTCCAAGGAGGGAGCAGAGCTGGTCCTAGACAAAGGCCATGGGAGCTACAACCACTGGCAGTGCCATAGGAGCAGAGCCACCCAAACTCTTTGGAGTTCACAACCTGCCACAGATTTCTGGGGATGCTTGAAGTGGAACTGTGGGATTTAGTGTTTGCCCTGCTGGATTTTGCTCTTGCTTTGTTCCCATTCCTTGTTATACCCCTGTGTGTAACTTTTGGAATAGAAATGTCTATATTGTGCCTTTGAATGTTTGTTATAGTCAAGGTTTATAAGGGAAACAATTTAATACAGGACACATAATTTATAGGATTATTTTATAATAGTCACCCAAAGAGGCAAATACAAAAGAGTGCAGGAAGTCTCTCCACACACTAAAGATCCAAAGAATCCAGCTGAGGGCCTGGATCCATGGCAATGTACTTCATGAGTCCAGCTGAGGACCTAGAGCCCATGACAATGCCCTCTACCAGTCCAACTGGAGACCTAGAGCCCACAACAATGTCTCATGCAGGTCTGCTTCATGCATCTGCACTGGGAAGGCCCAAAGGTCAGCGGTGGAAACTAGAAAGTCTGCACTAGCAGGATAAAGGATCTGTGCCAGCAGGCTGAGGGATCTGCAATGGAGCCAGGAAGCAACACTCAAAGTACGAACTAGAGCTCTCCTGAAAAGTACCACAGCCATCCTCAGCAACAGCTAGGTCCTGAGCTCCTCTGATGATAACGGCCAAGTTCATATCAGGAAAGCCAGCATGACAAGCTCCTCCAGGGGAATCAACAGTACCATCTTCCTTTCCAGTTCTTTTATTTTGGCAACAATCCTCAGGTGGGCCCTCCATATCACGCACTACACTGATTCAGTTCAGCTGGGTTACAAGTTAATTACCAGTTGTCAATCCACCAAAATGTTGGAAGTGTTTAACTTTGCATTTGTACAGGGGCTTGAAGCTGAGAGTTTAACTTAAATCTCAGAGGAGACTTTGGACTTGAACTTTTCAGCACTGTGGAAACTGTTAGGACTTTGGCAATTCTTGGAGATAGACTGCCTTTTGCACAAAGGGATATGCATTGAGTCTTGCGGGAGGGGCAAAATGTTATGGCTTGTGTTTAGATATCCCCCCATAGCCTCGTGTGGTCATAGGTGGGGCCTTTTCAGAGGTGGCTAGATTTGGAGTGTGACACTGGAATGGATTCATGGTGCAATGCTACGATCAAGGGCACCAGGATTAATGATGTGAGTGCTACCTGCCCTAAGAAGCCTGGATAAGACATAAAGGATAGAAAGAGCTGTGGTAGCCCCCTTGTTGCCTTGACACCTTTTGCCTGCCATGAACTGTTCTCCTCTGCCTCACCACTCTGGCTCGGAGCCAGCTGATTATGGACTGAAACCTCTAAATACTGTGAGCTAAATAACCCTTTTCTTTTTTAACTTTGGGTGTCAAGTATTTTGTCTCTGCACTAAGTAACTAACACAGCTATCCACACAAGGCTGCACTTCTACTTGGGCTACAAAAGATAGAGGATAGCTTAACTTTGTATTATCTAGTCCCTTGCTTTAGTCAGTCTTGGGCAACGCAGTGAAACTATCACCAAGAAATTGTTCCTTGAACCAACCTCAAGTCCCATGGCTTTACTTGTTCAGCTCTTAGAATCTCACTCATTCCTTTATTTCCCCCTCAACTATTTCTGCTCAGCACTCGCTCACAAGGCTCCATTTTTATCATTCAAGGTAGCCCACATTCTCTGGAAAAAAATGAGTAGTCATTGCAATGATGTTATTGGCACCAACTGAGAGTTCATAAAGTATGAGATACACACACAATGGAAAAACCATAGCCAAACTACACTTGGAGAGTAGGAAAAAGTAATAGTAACAACACATAACAATCACCTGCTACCAATTGCCCTCACCTGGTTCAACCAATCAACAACAGTGCCTGCCTCCTCCCGCCCTCCAGCTCACCCTGAAGGTACAGCTTCCTGTCAGCCCTACTGGGCAGGTGAGGCTCCCATCTGCAGGGCTGAGCCACCTGTTGAGAGGGGCGACTGTTCATTAACTTAGGACTATGCTGTGTTTCCACAGCCCTTGACAGTCACAGCGAGTCCAGGCACATGTATTTCTACCCACAACACGCAATCATCCCAGGGCAACTCAATGCCCAAGAGAGGAACAGCACTGTAATGTGTGGGACCCTGTGTAAAGTGAATATAGGGGGCCCCATTCAGAAAGCAAGAAAAAGTTATTATTAAAGACACTAAAATGTAAAATATTTCATCAAAATATTTTACCATTTCTCAAATTTAACAGGATAGTGACTCACAAGTAACAACATAAATCTACAAATTCCAAAAGATATTTTATGTCACGATTTTATGTACTACAATAAACAATAACAGTTTATCAATGTGTTTTGATTGATCGTGATGTTTTTCTGGTTTATTTTTCTTCATATTCATTTGTCAGGTCAGAGAAATGTATAGTTTAATAACTTTTAAAAAATAAATGCTCTGGGCAACCCATTTTGGCCCCTTTCTGTCCCTTTCTCGGACAGAAGCTTTCTTTCCTTCAATAAATATATTCTGCTCTTTAAAAAAATTAATGTCAATGTGTGTTTTACTAGAATATTTTTTATTTAAGTATTTAAAGAAAATCAATATTTCACAGAGTGTGGTGGTGCATGCTTGTAGTCCCAGCACTTGGAAGGCTGAGGCAAGAGAAATGCTGCAGGTTGAGGCCAGCCTGGGTTACACAGTGACTGCAAGACCAGCCTGTACTACACAGTAAGACCTAATCTCAAAAAAAATCAATTTTCAGTTGAAAAGTAACATCAACTGCTCCTGGCAAGTTCAAGATGGCGAATAAATTTTGATAATTTTAAATTTGGAGAAGGATCTTTCCACAGATAAAATTTAATGGAACTATTAAGAGTGTTCTGTATGTTGACAACAGAAAAATAAATGTATATCAAATCATTTAAATGTATAAAATTTAGTGTATAGGACTGATGATTTTTCAAGAACAATTTTTCTAAAATGATTTAACTATTCATACAAATTGGTTTCATGTAAGTTGTATAATTTTAAATGTACATTTATGTAATGGCATTTTAATATTTCCTCCAACATTTCCTGTATATTATGGCTTCATAGTTTGTGTATAGTCCAAAACATTTTTTATGCATTAATGTCATGTGACTGTATCTTCAATCACCTGAAAAAGTTAATTCCAAGATTTCTTATAATCATTTGTTTATTTGAAGAGTCATATAAAAATAGTGTTCATTTTCACTGAATGTGACAAATGTTGATTTTAATTTCTATTTTTAAGCCTGCAGAAATTTACTTTGCAATTTGATAGCAATTTTCAAAACCAGATATTTTACACTCTTTGAAAAACCCTAGCAATTTCTTGACATTCTCCATTACATCTCCGTTGCATGTTTATTTTGTAGTGAAAGCACAATTTTGTAACTAACAAATATGACCACTTGCTTGAAATTTGGACCTTTAGTTTCCCCACAGGTCCCTGTGTAAAGGCTTAGTCCCAGGGGGGTACAACATTTAGGAGGTGATGGAGCCTTTAGGAAGTGAGCTGTGGGATCTCCTTAGGTCACTGGGGTGTGCCTTGAAGGAGACTTAGGAACCTTGGCTCTCTCCTTGACCTCTCCTGCCTCTTGGCCATGTGATGAGCATATTGTTCTGCCATGCATTCCTACAACCAGGAGCTGCCTTGTCCTGAAAGCAACAGGGCCAACCAATCAGGGGCTGGAACCTCCAGAACTGTGAGCCAAAATCAACCTTTTTGCTGTATAAGTTTATTATCTTATACATTCATTGTATAGTAACAGAAAGCTGATAAAGACACTGCCTGAGCATGGGCAGTTTCTATCCTTGATTTCAGGCCAATCACTGTGCACCAGAAGGGGCTCTGGGGCCAATGGGAAGACACCTCCCACTGGGCACCACACACCCGCTCCTTTCTCTGGGCCATGGCCACTACTGCCAATAATGCTGTTTCAGCCAACATCAATCTGGGCTTGTGTTCTGGCCCTGTGTGTCCCTTCAGTATCACACAATGTGCCAGCCTGTCCCAGGTACAGGCATGTGGGTGCCAGCCTATATTTCCCTGCTCATGCACATGATCCAGTGTCCCATCAGACTTCATTTACAGAACACAAGTCTGAGGGTTAAATTATTAGAATTTTTAACCACAACAGCAGAGCAATAAACCAAGCAAAGACCCTTCCTTAGAGCTGGACACTGTGCAACTGTATAGGTCAAATGTGCAGGAAGCCAGGCCAAGCTCAAGGAGATGTTGCATCAGAAAAGTGGCCATATAATTAGTCATTTAAACTGGGATACTTTTGAAAGTGCAGGATGCATTATTAACCATCACACTGGGGCAATAGATATAGAGTGGGCCCATTCTGGACGAACATGGACACCTGGTCAACTCCTGCTTGTGCATACCTTTTTCCCTGTTAACTGGGAGTGATCTTCACTTCTGTGACCTCCTGACCATACCCATTCAAGAACATAGCTCAGAGACTTCAACAATGATCTCTCATCCACTTCAAAATGATCTCTCATTCACTCCTTTCTATCACTTCCCACTTCATGTTCTTCCTAGCATCGGCAACTTTCTCAGTCTTAAAGGATCAAAAACATCTTCTGTCTGTGGGAATTGTGTCCCAGTCTCTATCAGCCTCATTTGCCCTTCCTGCCCAGCCTGGACCCAACATCCTTAACCTGATGTCTCAGCCTAAGCCAGAGGTGCTTTCAACTACCCTTCCTCCACCTTTCCACTTGACACACTCAGGAAAACATCAGCTCCTAAAAACGTCCCTGCAGGTGTTGTTTCTGTCTCTCTGCCTGGGCTGAGGCAGAATCTAGAGAAATGTCCACAATTGCGTCATGAGTCCATGGCTTTTACCTCGGCCGAGTACAGTCGAGAATCCTTATACTCACTGTTCACTTTGCCACTCTAAAGGTCTGGCCTTGAAGCCATAAGCTGTAGGACTGTTTGGGGTGGGGAAAAATCTAGTGCCTTGGGCAATTTCCTCAGGGGAATCTTTTACTATGTAGTTTGTTGGGTTTTTTTTTCCTCTTGGTTAAAATCTATGCCCCAGGAAAAGGAACCCTTCTCCATTGTTGGTGGGAGTGTAGACTGGTGCAACCAGTATGGAAATCAGTGTGGAGACTCCTCAAAAAACTAGGACTAGAGGTTCCATTCTACCTAGTTATTCTGCTTCTTGGTATTTTCCTGAAAGAATTAAAAGCATCATACCACAGTGATATATGCATAGCCATCTTTATAGTGGCACAGTTTGTAATAGGTAAATCTTGGAAACAGCCCAAATGCCTAACAACTGATGAATGGATAAAGAAAAAAAATTTTTTTACACAATGGAATACTACTCTGCCATTAAGAAGGATAAGCTTGAGATATTTCTAGCTAAATGGATGCAGCTTGAGACCATACTTTTAAATCAAATAAATCAAACACATATGTGTAAATACCACATTGTTTCTCTGGTGTGAGAAACTGAAAATATAAATAAGGACCAAAATGTATAATAGATACTGTAATATAGGAAGAAAATGTCCAAATGAGAAAGGGGTCTAGGGAGAGGGGAGGGGCAAAGGAAGGAAGAGACAAGAAAAATGAGAAAAGAAGGAAATGGAAATAAAGATTTTGTAAACGAGAGGAAGAGGGATTGAAGGGAGGGTAGTGGAGGGGCCAGGGTTATAGCTCAGCAGCACAGTGCCTGCCTGGCAAGTGTGAGGTCCTGAGTTCAATTCCTGGTGCCAAAAAAAAAAAAAGGGAGGGTAGGGGAATGAGGGAGAAAAAGAATCAAGTTATATCATGTACAGATACAGATTCCCTATGATGGATACGATCATTATGTATACCCAAAATATACCAATAAACTTCACTAATAAGAAAGAAAGAAAATCTACGTGCCAGGGACCAGCTCTCATGATTTTTCTCTTTGATTTGCTTTTTCCAGCCCTGTGCAGTCTTCCTCTTGGGGCTGCAGACTTCTAAAATATTGCGGCAGATTCTGCTCCCCAGGTCCCGATGCCCCACTCCATTATAAGGTGAGCATGAGCCAAATATTTGAATCTGATGTCTGCTTGTGTGGTTCTACCAGGGACCAGGAGCTTCAAACTGGGTGATCCCCATCTTCACAAGGGTGTGCTCTTGCTTGGTGGAACTTGCTCAGTTGTTTGAGGACAGAAGCCTCAAGTCATACCCTTCCTTGGAGAAGAGGATACTGTGGCATCCTTATTGTCCTTGATGTTAGAGAGACATCCTGTCCTCTGCTCTACAAAAACTGGCAGCTGCCAATCACACTTTGGCTTTTCAAGGAAATAGAATATTGCAGGAGGCAGAGAGGATGAGGAGTAGGCCAGGGCCTAGGATTGAGGCTTTATCTTATCTTCAAGGCTTAAACCTCCCCCCACAGATGAATTTCTCCCCTACATATAAGGGATTGCTGATCTTTGAGGCAGCAGTTAGAGTATAGACTGCCTTAGGATCAGGAAGAAGTGCTCCCATGTAGCTGTCCCTTATTTAAGAAGGTCACAAATTGAAGAGTTCCCTCAAATTTTGAATCTCTTTTGTCTCTTCTACCCACTTGCTGGTCCCACAAGCCAGGAGCAAGCAGCCATGCGAGCCTTCAGCCGAGTGTAAATCCTGCACGTGTCGGGCAAGAGGGCAATGAAATCCACTCTTCTAAGTGAAGTTCTTATTCTCTGGGAATCTCCTTTCACACAGAGTTAAGAGCTGTTGAAAGTCCCTTTACCAAATTATTGTTTTAATTTTTAAATTATCATATATAAATTGTATGTATTTATGGGATTTGGTGTGGTACTTCAATATGTGTATACAAGGTGTATTTATCAGATCAGATGGTATACTTACTTTAACACCATTCCCTCCAACATTTATTTATGACAAACATCTCAGTGTTGGAATATTTAGAATTCTCTCTATAAACTACTATATTTTGAAATATACAGTTGTTGTCAACCACAGTTATCCTAATGTGCTAAATTGTCCTGTTTGTTTATTTGTTTGTTTTTGGCACTACTGGGAGTTGAACAGTGTCTTCACATTGAGCTACATGTCTAGCCCTGTTTTATTTTTTATTTTGAGACAGTTATTTTTAAATTTCCAATATGCCCAGACTGTTTCTGAACTTGTAATTCTCTTGCCTCAGCCTCCCAAAGCCCCGGGATTACATGGCTACAAACTGTCTTATTTAACCTTGGTTTCCCAAAGTAAAAGCATGTTCATATTAGCATCAGAGGGCCTGGGCGCTGTCTCAAGTCAGGGAGATGAGACCAACCCACTGGTTAGAGGCCTTGCAAGACAGTCACCAGGACATGGATCACACTTGCTTGCTGAAGAACTCAAAACCCTGCCACCCACGTAACTTTTAATTCCAGTGATGCCAGAATCTCCTTCCTAATGATACCACAGAAATCTCTTTCAAATTCAGCATGGAAAGGGTGGGATGTTTGGCACTGGTTGAGAAAGGGAGAGTTATGGGGCGCTATTCCCTCTCCACCAAAGGGCCTCGATGGATGTTGTGTAGAACCTTTAGAGTTATACATGGCAAAATTTCACTGGGTAGGAGAAATCTTTAGCTAAGAATTATAGATGGCACAGGAGGTCCATGCTGTGAGGTCTGGAAGGAAGGCCTCTTCCAAAATAGGCATTTCTTTAAAACAATAATAAGGATTTCATTAATCAGTTATAGAACTTTAACACCACATCTTTCCCTCCCATTTAGTTCTCTTTCTTTTTCTCCAGGGGATGAAATTGAGTATCTTCAAATCTGGGTACGATGGACCAGAGAGGTTTATTTTGGATCATGGTCCTGCAAGCTGGAAAAACCAAGATCAGGTGGCCACATCTGGGGAGAGCCTCAATCTGTATCAACTCCTGGAGGAAAACAGAAGGTGAAGTGGGTGTGTGCAAAAGAAAAGCAAGTTCAAAAGAGAGGGGAGGCACCAGCCTCACTTGATAGCAACCCACTTTTGGAAGAATGAAGCTTTTCTTACAAGACCTTATCTAGCCACTGGAAAAAGACACTAATCCACTCACCAGGTTGGTACCCCAGGGACCCAGTCACCTTTCAAAGGCCCCACCTCCAAACACTGCTGCTTTGGCAACCAAACATCAACATGAGTTTTGGCAGAGACAAGCCACGCCTAAACCACAGCTGGAATACATGCTAATGATTGTCTCATGAGAACACGCGTGTGTACTCAGTCCATAAGTTTGACGAGACTGTCTCTCTCTCTTGTCTGTAGCTAAAAGCAAAGCTGAGTTCCCTACTTATAACTTCAAATGACTGCCTGCTTCAGTCTTCACTTTGTTTTGTTCCCATTGTGACCAAAGAGCCCTGGTCATTTCTGTTACTGTCTTACTGCTGAGGAAATCAGCAATAATTCTTGCAGTTAAATAGAATGTTTTGCAATTAGAACACTCACTTTCCTTCTACTCTTGCAAGCAGGGAAGAATGCAAAAGGTTCTATTTAAAGAGCCTCAAAGAGCATTTTGGTGTCAGGTGGGACTGAAGAAAGCACTGAAGCTCTTCCCCCAGGGAGGGAGAAGTAGATTTGAGCAGGGCATGATGGGTGACCAGGTTTGCTAGTGAGACTAACAGAGAAGGATGGTGGTAGAGGTGGGTGTTAGTTTGGCAGGACTTAGGCAGTAAACACCCCCACTGCAGCCCCTGAGCAAATTCTCCACCCCTGCAATGACATCAGGGACCTAGGAGGTGAGATGAAGTCTCAACTTTCAATTTGTGCACCCTGAACAGTGTGGTGAGACTGTGACACCTTATCAAAGAACTATCAGCAGTGAAACCCAGTATGTGAGCAGCCTGGGGATAAGGACAAGGAAAGAAATACTCTTGCAGGGTGCAGCTTCCCCCTGAACATTGCTCAGGGCTCTGGTAGAGACTGAATTTAAGGGCCCACAGCCTCCCCCTTTCCCTTTCCCTGATCCCAGCCCCAGAGAGAGCCAAGAACCAGCTTTTGCTGAGACACGTCTCTGAAACAAGAAGCAGGAAAGAAAGCTGAATTTCCTAGCTGCCCCTCTTTTTCTTAGTCAGACCCCCGTAGGTTAACAAAGAGCCCCAGTAGGTCGATGAAAAGGAATTCTATAAGAAGGAAGAAGGAGGCTCAGCTCCACTCTTGTGTTATTAAAAGCATGTTGAATTTGCAGAGTATCAGAGATGGTTATATTCAGTCAGAGGTAGCAAAGTATTTTCTGAAATCACTCTCACATGTGCACACTTACAAACACATGGGATGCACTTCCTAATTTGGATAGTCAGAAGCTGACAATGGTAGCTGATGCTAAATCAGAAGCTCCCTATGTTACAGGAAGGCAATCAAGAGACGGAGGGAGGGGGAGGGGAAAGAGGGAACAGCAAAGGAAAGAGAATTAAGATGTGTAATGTACAGGTACCAACCAACTCCCTACAATTAACATAATTGTTATGTACTCCAAACATGTACTAATAAATTTTTTAATTAAAAAAATAAAAGTGTATCCCATAGAGCTACACTTTTGTAGAACTTTGTATTTACCTAATGTTAATAAACTACCACTAGTTACTTTTTCTCTTAAAAAAAAAAAAAACAGAAAGAAACAAGCTGTTAACAGCATTGCAGACCTGGGCATGAGCCTCTGGCAGTGCCCCTCACTTTTCAACTGCACCAGGGTTATATCGTTTTCTGCCAAGGCTAGAACTTGTCTGGAGGGGAAGAGGAGGTACCTGTGGTACCTCCACCTCTCCACCCAATCACATTCTTCCATGTTCCTTCTTTCCTGTTTATGCAACTTTTCCTTCTCAACAGCACTCCCATCAGATGTGAACTTGGCTTGTGTCCCTTTCTCTTGCCTGCCCCACTTGTCCATGCTCATCACCGCCCCTCTCTCCTCTCCCATCCGTTCCTTGGCCCGCTCTAATCCATTTCTGTTCTACTGCTCTAGGATTTTAATCTTCCTCTTGCGGTTGATATTATTGATTGCACCTTTCTTCTTTGGTCCCTTTCTTGGTTTTTCTATTACTTCCTCTGGCAGCTGTATGGCAGACTCACTTTGCAGTGCTGAAGTTGCTCAGGCCTACCTCTAGGCCCTTTTCTCCCTACTTCTCCCTGCTCCCTGCTTCTCTCCCACAGGACTCCCCTAACTCATCCATACCCAAGACTTCCAGTCAGCACTTTCTGGGTGATTTATCTCTTAGGTAGTTGAGCTCCAGCTCTGTTTAGCCAACACCAAATTAACATCTCTTCTGAGCATCTCAAAACATTTTAACAACCAAACAACCTGCTCTCATGGTTTTTCCACTCCGGGGCGATCCTTTCCTAAGATTTCTATCTTGGTGAACCAGCATGCACATTCATCCTTAGCCACAAGGCAGAAACCTACACAGTTTCCTTGAGGACTCTTTCTTTTTCACTGCTCCACCTAACCCATCCCTTGCAAAAGCACACACATTCTGCACTTGGGGCTTCCTAAATGGTGTCCAGATTCTTTCATTTACTATTTCCGGGACTATCACCCTGCCTAGGCCAAGCTTCCACCTCTTACCACCTGGACCGCTCCTGCATCCTCCTGGCTTCTTTCCCAAGAGAAATCTGTCTAAAATGCTATGCTGAGCACGCCACCCCTTTTGAGCATGCCAAGGTCTTCTCTTTGCAGTTAAGATAGAAAGATTTCCAAGATGGCCAGTATGGCTCTTCTAATTTTTGTCACTTTACCAGTTTTCTCAATTTCATCTCACAGTTCCTACTTCCTTGCTCTTCCAGCAAACCTGGCCTTGCCCCGATTTCCCCTACCTACTCTACTTTCTCTCATCACAGGAAGTAGGAGCTTGGATACAAACTTAACTTTTCAGAAATACTCTGCCTAGTCAAACCTATTGTCAACTCAAGAAACAGTTTCTCAGACAAACCTTTCCTGGCCTCATTAATTATATCAATTAGTTTTGTAATATTATGTATCCTTATCATTTTGCATTATAACAGCGATAATTTTCTTCTTTTAAACTCTCATCTCTTTTATATGAGAATGATGAAGTCTGCCAGATTCATTGTGTTGCTGCTGCTAGCATATTGCTAGCAGACAAAGGGCATATTATAAATATTTACTGGCGAAAAAGAAGGAAGTAAAGAAATCTGAGAAGGTGAGAAAAAATGGGAAGAGAATGAATGAATGAATGTTCATTCCATTTTAGAGTCGCTCGAAATGGGCCAACCTGACATGCAATAGGAAAATAGTCTACTTGAACTTACTTATTCAACAAATATTTATGTATTCATTATTAAAATAACATATCTTAGTAAACACAAATGTTCCTTTTGGAAATCATATGAAAATACTCAAAAGAGGGAATCAAATCACCTTTCATTCTACAGTGAAATGAAACACTGTTAAACTAATTTATCTTCCTAGGTTTGTCTATGTATTTTTTCACTCCATATATGTGGTTCCTAACGGGGATGATTCTATACGTACTTGTTTCTTGCTTCTTTCTTAACGATACATTGTGAACATTTTCTGGACTTGGTGAGAATTCCTAGAACACTAGGCGTCTAAAACGTTAACATGTATTCTACTGCATGGATGGTAACAGTTTAAATCCTTCTCCCTCATTGTTGGATATTCCAGGGTTTGTCAGTTAATGGCTTCTATAATATTTGCACTCGTTGTGGGGCCTCAGAGGGAAATTGGGAAATTCCAGCACTCTGGGAGGAGATGGATTTTAGAGACACGTAAGGCAGCTTTCCTGGGGAGCTCAAAAGAACTTTTCTTTGCGTGTAGACACAGGGCCGCGAGCAGATGTCCTCAGAACAGAACACCCTGTCCGTGGAGGCAGAGAGCTTGTCTCTCAGGTGTGTGCCCTGGCAGGTGCATCTGCTCGCCTGGCGGGCCTGGCCGAGAGCCTGACCTTCACTCCCGGAGGCGAGGAGCCCAGGGGGCGCGGCTCAGACTAGCGGGACGCAGCTTTCCAGACGCTATGAGTCGCGGGCACGCGCCGCCACGTGCGAGGGCAGGCCCCGCCCTTCCAGCTCCCGGCCACGCCCCTCACCCGCTAATCTCAGGCTCTTCAGCCGCTCGGACTCCGTCTCTAGGCGACCTCCCTAGGTCAGCGCGGCCTCCAGTGTAGCCACGCCCCCAGATTGAAGGCTCCGCCCCCGCAATCCGGGCCCCGGGCCGACCCGCCCCGAGGGCCGCTGGGGCGGCGCGGGGGCGGAGCCTGCGCGATGACGTGGGCGGGCGTGCGCGGTGACGGCCCGCGTCCCGGTTACTCAGCGGAGCGGACGAGGCCGGACGACGCGGCCCGGATCGCGGACCCGCGAGCAGCGTTGGGTAACGGCAGCGACGACAGTCCTGACGGCGCCCGCGTCCCCGACTGGCTTCCGCGTCGTCGCTCCCTGCGCGGCGGGGTGAGTGCGGCTGGAGCTGGGCGCCGGGGGCGGGGGCGGCGGGCCCGCCGAGTTGCTGTTATTGTGCGGCCGCCGCCTTCTCAGCCGTGACCCCTCCGGGTGGGGGCGGCGGGCGGGGGGGCACGGGAACAATAGCGGCCCGGGCGGGGGCCGGGGACGTGGGGCTCAGGGCTCGGCTACCGCCCCAGCTCGGCGCATGCCCCGCGCGAGTCCCGCGTCCACGTCGCGAGGAGAAAATGGAGCGGGTGGGTGGCAAGTTGGAAACACTCCGGCGAAGGTCGGGACCGCTCTCGCGTTGCCGGGTCCCCACGCCCGGCGGGCGCCCGCGGGAACCGGGTCTGGCTGTTGGAGGCTCCTTTGTGCGGACGCGGGTGGCAGCAGCGTAAGAAGGCTGCGGGGGCCCGGCCTGGACTGCGGGACTCCGGCCCGGGTACGGGGTGCATGTCCCGCTCGCCGGGCTGGGGGCAGCCGGCGCGCCTTTCTAGACTGTCACTCGGCCGTGACCTTTTGACTCTTTTAGCCCACCTTGCCATCTCTTTGTCTTGCATTTGGGTGCCACACCAGAGGTGGCAGAGTCAAGTCCATTTCAAAGTATAGTGATGAATCCTCTGCCTTCTCCTTTCCGAAAGTTCCCCATCCAATCTTTATTGTAAATTTAATAATCCGTTGACTACACGGCATCGGACAGTATCCAGTGGTTACTATTTTTACATCTGAAATTCATTGATATTCCCAGTAGAATTCTGGCCTGTCAGCCTATTGTGTTTGCGATAAGCATCCAGCGTGTACCTCCTTGGCAGTGAGAACATCTGTTTATTTCATTCATTCATTCGGCAGCTGTTCAGTACTGTGTCCAAACGGAGAGGTTTGAAGGTAAAGAGAAATATCCTTAAATGGAAAAGGATACTTTAACTGAAATGTAATAGACGTGCCTTTAAATGAGATGATTATATAAGGAATGTGTCGTAAGGTAGAGTTACATACTCTGGCTCATTTTACTGGAGCTTCAGGAGTCATTTTATATTAGGAAGTACAGTTAGATTTCGTGTAAATGTACAGCAACTTTTATTTCTAAATAAGTCTGGCAGTTACCTGTATGTTACCCTTATTCCTCTGCCGTGATTACCCTTAACTCTAGGAAGTCAGATGCTCTGAGAGAACTCCCTGCACCCCTAAAAGCAAGCAGTTGAAATAGGACTTCTTGAGGGCAGGCCTGGCTTGCAGCTTTCTCTGTCACACAGCCTGGAGTATAGTAAGTGTTTAGGAGAAGTTGGATTGAGGAAAAGCTCTTTATAATTGAGAATACTTCACATCGAGCATTTACAGGAAACTTAATGTTCTCCTTGGAGTTTCGGATGCTTCTTGCAGACCGTCACTTCCAGATGGCTGGCTGACTGATCAAGTTTTAAGGTACATTAACTATTAGGACAACAGGACTTTTGAATCACTTCCGTGTCAGTTTTCTTTCTTGGTATTTCTAGGCTATTCCAAAGCAAAATCTTGTCTAAATGTTTTTAGTGTGATTAGTAAAGAAATGTAGGTTGCGAGATGCGTGTATTTGTGTATGATCAGCTGAGTATCCCTGTTCTGACAATTCAAACTGCTCCAAAATCTGAACCATTTCTGATCCTATGCATTTTAGAAAAGTTATACTCAATCTGTGTGTATATGCAGACTCGTATAGTTGTGCTGTATTTTCATATGACCGCATTTATTTTGTGAATATTGTTTGAAAGGTTTTTGGTGACTCCTTTGTTTTACCTGGAAAACTAGGATAAAAGAAACAACTTTCATAAATGTTTTAATAGAAATACTTAATTTCTAGTAACACTTTAGAAGTGCTTATTAGAAACATTAAGTAATGTACTGATACTGTTGGTGAAGTGTATGGGTCTGAAATTTTGTTTTTTCCAGCTATTTAATACGTGTTAACATTTGTTTTGGATATGGAAGGATACAAACTGAACTTATTTGATCTCAAGTAGAAATAAAGAAATGGGAAAATTAGTATGTTGTTAATATAAGTGCAGAAAATCTTCAGACACCAAACTTTTAATTGCTTTACCTGGTTGAGATATGTTAGATTTTAGTAAGGGTT